TCAGTAGAAAGTCGTAGAAATGTCGTAGAAAGCTGTAGAAAGTTCGCTTTGTCCTTGATTGTTTTTTTTCTTGGCTCGCAGAGCAGCTGTCCCACAAGGCACCGCGTGGCTGATGGCCATCACCTTCCCCACGCTACACTGCGTCCCCCGGCTGCTCCGGGGCCGTGCCTGACCTCCGAGGGCCAGCATTTTAAGGAAAAATATATTTCTCTATATATAACATATATATCTGTGTGTGTGTCACAAGCACTCAGCCACACGCGCATCGTACTTCCACTCGCACTCACTTGCTCACAGCGTCCCAAAAGCACCTGGCGATGAAGCCCACCCCAAACCCCATGGCACAGATTGGGGTTTGAGGGAAGAGACGCTGCCGCTCAGCCTTCCCTTCTCCCCGTATCGTGGTTGTCCCTCTTTTTAGTACCAAAAAGTGGAAAACTGAGGGCTTTGTGCCACGTGTGGCCCCTTAGAAATTGGGAGCCCAGGTGCCAGAGGGGACTAATCTGGACCCGAGAGTTTGCACTGCAAAGAGGTGCCGGCGCCTTCCCAGTGCCGTGGCTGCTGAAACTTCCCAGGGAAGGCCCAGGATGGGAGCGCAGTGGGCAGCACCTCCATTTCCAGGCACTGTTCCTTAAGACCAGTTAAGAGAAGGGGATGGAGCGGGGCGATGCGGCGAAAGACCCAAACGAAATGGGAGGGAAAAAACAAACAAAAAAACAACAACGGACCAATAAACGGGGCAATGGCGAAGGAGAGCAGCGGACGCCTGGTCAGATGTCCATCTCGAACTGCGCGTCGTCCCCTGCAAGAGACACCAAGAGAGGCACGTGGGCATCCCACGGCTCGGGGACGCCCGGGAGGGGCCGCCCGCTTACCGGCCGCTGGCTTGCCGTCCTGACTGCTGGGGCTGGTGGGCTCGGCCTTGGGCTCGTCGCCGGCCCCGGGGCTGGTGACGCCGGGGATGTCGGGCAGCTGGCACGGCGGGGTCTGCGCCATGGGCGAGTTGCGGCGCTCCAGCAGGAACTTACGGTCGTAGATGATGCGGGTGCCTGCGGCGGGAGGGCCGGGGGACGCGTCCGTGTCTCCTGGGCGCTCTCCCCCGCGGCGTGCCGCCTTTAGGGACCCCCGCAGACCCCGAACCCCTCCGCCCGCAGCCTCACCCCCTCCGGGCGGCACGGCCTAGCCTCCCTTCGGGGCCCAGCCGCGGGGAGCGCTGAAATCCGGGGCGCAGTTTAGGGCTTCACGCTCTTACCTCCCGGCGTGGTGGAGAAGAGCGTGCCGCCGGGCGTGGTGCAGCAGCCGGGCGGCAGCGAAGCGGCGTCTCCGTGCGGCGCGGGGCGGGCAGGGATGGCGCGGCTCTGGCTGTGCTGGCGGCCGCCGGCCGACGCCATGGCCCCGCGCTATTGTCCCCGCGGGGCGGGGCCGCGCCATCCCCGCCCGCCGCCACACGTGGTCCGGCGGGGAGGAGGGCTCCCGGCTCCCGGCTCCCGGCTCTCGCCCGGGGTACCCGGGTTCGGCTCCCGGCGCGGGGAGCGGAGCCACGTGGCTCGGTCCGCACGGTTTTATCTCGGACGGGAGGCCACCGGAGAGCCCTCGCCCTCCCCGCCGCCGCACGCGAAGCCCCGCTCCCGCGGAGCCCCGCGGATCCCGCGGATCGCACCCCCCCGCCCGCCCCAGCAGAGCACATGTCCCAGCGCTTTATTTTTAGCAGCGGGGAACGCCGCCTCCGTCTCGCCCGCGGTGTCCCCCCCCGGCCGCCCCCATGCAGAGAAGGATGGGCGAGGCGGTGGCCCGCGTGGCCAGGAGGGTGAACGAGACAGTGGAGAGCCAAGGCGACACGCTCGGTAAGGCCGCAGCCCCGGCGGGGTGCCGCGCCGCTCCGTCCCCGCACCACGCCGGGGTGCGGCGGGGCCCCGCCGTGCAGGAGGGCCGCGTGTTTGGCAGCCTGGGGCTGGGCGCTGTGCAGCTGCCCCCGCCGCTCACCCGCCTGTCCCCGCAGACCTGGCCGACTGTAAGCTGGTGGCTTTCCCCGCCGGCATCTACAAGGCGGTGCGCAGCGTCACGCAGGGCATCCACCGCATCTCGCTGGCTAACAACGAGCTGAAGGCTCTCGGCGCACGCTTCGCCATCACCTTCAGCCAGCTGCGAGGTAAGCGCGGGCCAGACTGCCGTCACAGGACCGCTGAGGTTGGGAAAGCCTTCTCAGCTCACCCAGCCCACCGCCCACATCCCTCAGTGCCACATCCCACGGCTCTGGAACGCAGTTGTTGGAGGGCAGCCGGCCCGCGACATGGGAGTTGGAGTGCAGTGATCTTTAAGATCCAAGCCAAGCCATGCTATGATTCTATGACACTCCCCAGCACCTCGGGGTCTTTTGTGTAGTGAGGAGACAAGCTGTCAGCACACCAGCCTAGGGCAGATCTGTGTTACATACAGCTCCACACAGCAGCCCTGGCTGCTGGAGGAGTCCCCCGCCGGGAGCTTTGCTGCAGAGAATGGAGAATCAGCTTTGTTCCCCTTCCAGAACTCAACCTGGAGGGCAACCTCCTGCACCGCCTGCCCCAGGAGCTGGGCTCCCTGCTGCACCTGCGCACCATCAACCTCGCCCACAACAAATTCCGGCACTTCCCTGAGCCCCTGGCGGCTGCACCTGCACTGGAGAGCATCAACCTGGAAGGGAATGAGATCACAGGTGAGAGGGAGGGGGCTGGCGAGGAGAAGTGGTGGATGTGACCATCTCACCACCCCTCGGGGCTCCTCCATTTAATGGCTAATGGATGTATGGTCCACTGGGTTACTGTAGAGCCTCCAAAGGCTGAGCTTTTTGTATGATTTATGAGCTTTTTTTTTACATTTACCTCTTCTTCACTGTGCTCAACAGCAGAGTTAAGGAGAACCCATTAGCATGAGCTTAGCCAGCACACATCTTCATTCTCCTTGATGGCCATGCAGGCTTTGAGCCCTCTGCTTGCTGCTATGACTGGTAGAAGACCACCATCATTTCTGTCTTTGGAGATGATGCTGAAGCACCTGAAAGTTCATCCTCATGCTGTTATCTAGCAGCATATCATGTCTTAGTGGTGTGGAGATGAAGGTTTGCCCACGTTTTATGACTCAGGACCCAGGTTGCACCACTCAGCTCCATAACAAACTGAGTATCTTGCTCCGGATAAAAGCATGGTAGCCTACAGAAGGTGATGGAGGTTGATTGGTGGCGGCTTTGCACACCAGTTTTTGGTGCTGCCATCCCAACCACACATAGTTCCTGGTTCTGCCCGTTCCCTTCTGCTGCACTGGAGACAAAAACTGCTCTCAGGGCCAAATCAGGTTCAAGATATCTGCTGGAGGGGATCTCAGTCTTCTGGGAGGCGCTGAGCCACAGCTCAAGGCAGCGGGTGCTGTTCTCTAGGGAAACAGGAGGATGAGCACATCGATTAGTGCCTGCCTGCAGCCCTAGGCTCCGGAAAGAGCCCTTCAGTGCTGCCAGCCACCCTTTCATCTCAAGGAGCTCTTAACCTGCAGAGTAGTGATGCATATATTAACGTCAGGGCTCTTAACCCTTTCCCTGCTCCTTGCAGTGATACCACAGCATTATTTTTCATGCTAGGGGTGATGCCACCAGGCAGCTGCACACTCCCCGGTTGGACCATCATTGGTTTCCTCCGATGCCTGCTGGCTCCCCAGCAGCCTTTCATCCCAGCGAGCTGGATTTTTTCACTGTTATCATTATATTCTGATCAAAGAAAAATTACCACTGGCTTTAATTATGAAAGAGGCTTCTTGCTTTCTTTCTTGCTGTGTTTTAATGCCTGTTTTCTCCTTTCCACCCGTTCTGCTTGGTAAAGCAGGACAAGGAGGGGGAGCAGCTGGCAGCAGGGTGCAGGCAGCTGTAAGCATGGGCACTGCTGCTGCTCCTTGCTGCCCATGCATATGGCCATGAGCAGCACCAGGCTTTACAGCTTCATTTAACCTGTTCTATTTTTGTTTTGTTGTTGTTGTTGTTGTTTTTTAATAAAAACACCCTCCCCTTCACAAATCCTGTTCCTTTTGTTCCCCCTTGCAGAGGTGCCAACAGAGGCACTGGCCACCATGTCCTCACTGCGGAGCCTCAACCTGCGTGCCAACCCTGTGTGCCCTGCTGTACGCCTTCTCGTCCAGCCCCTGGTCCCCTTTGAGCTGCTGCTGTCACCTGAGGGCAATGTCCCCACTGCCTGACATGACCCTGCTGCCTGGTGCCTGGAGGAGTGCCCCCTGGCCCATGAGCTCCCCGTGGCTTCCAGCTGCTGGCACGATGTGCCCAATGCTTGATTAAATGTGTTATGTGCATTGTGTTCGCTGCATTGATGGATTATTGGTTGCCAGCAATGGGCTGGAAGGAGCCCAAGTCCCCACAGAGTCCCTGCGATCAGCACACGTGTGTACATGTGTTCAGGGTGGTGTCCCAGGGTCTCCCCATAGCTGCAAGGAGGGTGCCAAGGGACTGCGAGGATGTCACGGAGAGGATGCTGGGGGGGCTCTGAACAGGATGCAGGGGGATCACAGCATGGTGCTGCGGGGCATTAGGAGGACCTTTAGCTCCCAGGCACTGGAATGTAGGAGGGAAAGCTTTCCCTGCATCCTCTGCCAGGAGGAAGCATGCTGGGGGGTTCCCCCAAGGAGCCGTGGAATGCCCATGACCACGCAGGGCAGCATGACTTCTGGACTTGCCTTGCCCTACAGACCCAGGTGTGACATAGTGGGGGGGGGCAAGGGGATCTGAGCAGCCAGGTGACCACATCTGCAGCACTGGGGGCGAGCAGAACTGCTCCGGCTCCAGCCTCCAGCCGACTGAGCTGCCTGTGGGTACCCCAGTATCCATGGAGATGGGAGGATGCTTTCCCCCCCTCCCCCCCTTTCCTTCGAGCTGCTGCCGCATCCGCAAGCAGTGGTGACGGCGGCACAGGAGCAATGCTAAGCGGCGGGGACCCCAGGCTGGAGGAAACCTCCTTCCCCACCTCCCGATGCAGGCGCTGCAGCACCCGGAGCCAAGCAGGGGTGAGTCGCAAAGCAGGGATCCCTTTTCCTCCTTTCATTGCGGTTTTTCCTTCCCCATCGACCCGGGGATGTCCCCACCGCCGAGGAGTGCGAGGAGGACGCATTCCCATCCAGCGCAGAGCCTTTTATTCTCAGCTCTCCTTCCACTTCCCTCTCGGAGCATCCTCTTATTTCTCAGCCGGTAATGTTGCAAGGGATTGCAGTCCAGGGTGATAAAGTCAGGCAAAGTTTTGGGCTTAATATAGGTATTAGGAAATGCTGCTGCGGGCTCTGCTGCTGCCCAGTCCAACATTTCCCTTTTCCTGCCTGAAAACTGCAGCCAATGAGCATGCAGGGTGACTCTCCCCCTGCTCAGCAGCCTCCCACATCCCTGCCGGGGACCGGTGCATGGATCTGTTCCCCCAGTAAGTCTGCAGTGGCAAAATGACGTTCCCCCATCCAGCAGGAGCTCTCCTGGCTGCAGGTAATTATAATAATTATGTATAATTAAGGCTGCATGTGGAAGAGTACAGGGGGTCCTCCTACCTGGATACTCCTGCATCTCCTGCATGGTCTGAGCACTGTAGTGCAGTGGGAGGTGGACTTCTCACCATGCCCTGCTTTCCTTGCATGATCCCTAGGAAAACCCCTGAGAACAAGATGCCTGCTGGCCTTCTTTAACCTTTCATCAAAAATTAATTCTGAGCTTTGAGGAACTTCCACACCACTGAGCCATCCCACCTGCTGAGCTAACCCAGCCCCATGTGCTGGAAGGAGAGACATGGCTGGGACTTCCCACCTCTGAGGGCATTAGGAAAAGAAGGGAACCATTGCTTCATTCCCTTCCATCTTCATTTTTCTGCTTTCCCTTCCTTAGACTCCTCCAATGGCAGCTGGGCTAACGCCAGTGAGAGCTACCTCCTGAAGGAAAATTACACCTTCTTGGCATACTACCAGCACTCCTCACCTGTGGCTGTGATGTTTATCCTAGCCTACACCTTCATCTTCCTCATGTGCATGATTGGCAACATCCTGGTGTGCTTCATAGTGGTGAAGAACCGTCAGATGCGGACGGTCACCAACATGTTCATTCTCAACCTTGCCATCAGTGACCTGCTGGTGGGCATCTTCTGCATGCCTACAACCCTGGTGGACAACCTCATCACAGGTGAGCAGGGCACGGGGCGAGACTTGATGGGGAAGGGAAGTGTTGAGAGACACCATCCACCTTCTTCTTGCTCTCCCTAGGAGGCCACTTCCAAAACTCTCTCCCATTTTTTGTGCTGAGTTCAAGGAGGGTGGCAGGTGGGCATTCAGATATATCTGATGGAGGTTCAAAGCCATAAGGCTGCTTTCCATTATATTGAGTGAAACAAGCCACAGCCAGGGCAGAGTATTTATGTATTTATTGCCACATGCAATTTATTAATTGTGGCCCCATGCCCAGGCAAGGCAGGGCGTCACATCCTCCTGTTTCCAAGGGGCCACAGGGTCTTTTCCCACTCCACCATGCTTCAAAGGTAAAAAGGGGTTGGGTGGCATTTTGGCTCCATGATATCATCTGTGTCCCAGTGCTGTGCCACACCTCAGTAGGGAAAACTAATTAAAGCCCAGCAGATCAAGGACCCAAAGGTCAGTCTCTCTGATAACAGCTGGAGTCCAACAGAAACCTTGCTATACAAGCTTCTGGAAAGTGTAATACACATCTTTTTTTTTTTTTTTTTTTGTACTGCTGAAGTCCATGTCTGTATGAATAAGAAGAAAAAAAATACAGCTCCCCCTCTTAAGACCAGGATTTACCATCACATGGTGGATGGGGACATCTAGAGGGAGTTGCTGATGGATGTTGATGAGCCAAACGTGTTCAACCTCAGGGGTGATGTGGGGGGAACACGGGGACAGGGACCAGCCCACTATTCCCAACACTCCCTCTGTGTTTGCAGGGTGGCCCTTTGATAATGCCATGTGCAAAATGAGCGGCCTGGTACAGGGCATGTCTGTCTCTGCCTCTGTTTTCACGCTGGTGGCCATCGCGGTGGAGAGGTACGTTGGGATGGGGGGATCCTGACACCTCATCCTGCATGCTGTTTGGGCAACTCCCAATGCACGTAAGACTCCAGTCCCACCATGGGGCTACCTTCCTTCCTTTGGGGTATACCATCGTGGGCATGGCCCTCTTCCCAAGCTTAGACACCATGCAGCACCACATCCCCACTCTCTTCACCTCCCAGTTTGCTCACAGACATGTGGTGATGGTGAACTGGAAACTCAAAGAGCCTCCAGGTCAAAGCTATGCTAATGCACCTGGCTGCCTCCTTGAGGTGTGATAAGGAGGTCCCACGAATCCCACAGGTTTCGCTGCATCGTCCACCCCTTCCGGCAGAAGCTGACGCTGAGGAAAGCCCTGGTGACCATTGCCATCATCTGGGTGCTGGCCCTGCTCATCATGTGCCCCTCCGCCATCACCCTAACTGTCACCAGGGAGGAGCACCACTTCATGGTGGACACCTACAACAACTCCTACCCACTGTACTCCTGCTGGGAGGCCTGGCCCGAGACAGAGATGAGGAAGATCTACACCACCATCCTTTTCTCCCACATCTACGTGGCACCCCTTGCCCTCATTGTTGTCATGTATGCTCGCATCGCCTTCAAGCTCTTCAAGTCAGCGGCACCTGCCCGCAGCACCCGGCCTGAGGAGCCCGAGGGGAGGAAGGTGTCCCGTAGGAAGGCCAAGGTCATCAACATGCTCATCATCATGGCCCTCTTCTTCACTCTCTCCTGGTTGCCCCTCTGGACACTGATGCTGCTGACAGACTATGGTAACCTCAGCGAGCGCCAGCTGCACCTGGTCACCGGCTATATCTTTCCCTTTGCTCACTGGCTGGCCTTCTTCAACAGCAGCGCCAACCCTATCATCTATGGATACTTCAATGAGAACTTCCGACGAGGCTTCCAGGAGGCCTTTAGGGCCCCTTTCTGCTTGCCACCACGCCGGCGGCACCGTGGGCCCTATGGTGCCCGCAACCGTGTCTTCACCCAGCCCCAGGCCAGCGACTCTCCCCCCCACTCGGAATCGAGGCCGCTGGCATCCCGACGGGCTGGCATCCCTGCATGGAATGGCTGAGCAGCTGTGGCCACCAGTTTGTCTGATAGATGTGGGTCTAGATGGGGACCTCGTGCATGGCACTATACTAGGGAGGAAACTCCATACTGTTGTGGGTTTGGGGTCTTGATGTGATGATTAGTGAGTGTCCAACCCAAGAGCTTGCTGGGGAGTGGAAGGGAATAGGGATTTACAAAGTTATTGAAATAAAGGCACGACCTGCTGATGTCATGTCTCCAAGTCCCCCGTTTACCCAGCCCATGCCAACCATTGTGGAGTGCACGGCAGTGGGAGAGAAGATCCATGCGTGGGCTGTTCCATACTATCCTGGGCCATGCCCAGAGGAACTACATCGTGTTGTTGTGGCCCTGTGCTGCCATACGAAACTAGGTCATATCATGCCATGCTGCTATGGCCCTACTGGACTGTGCAATCTCTTGCGGCCTTGGTGGATCATGCAGTTGTGGCCACTATGTGCCAAACCATACTACGTTATTGTGGCCATGCTGGACACTAGTGTGTGGTTGTGGCACTGGTAGACTGTGCCACCTCATGCTGTCATGGCCACGCAGTGCTGTGCCACGCTGAATCACGGCACTGCCTTGTGGCCAGGCAGTACCATGCCACAGCGAACTACGCTATCCTATCCACAACCCGCAGGCTGCGCTATACCACCCACGCCCTGCCAGCCCACGCCACTCTGCATGCACACGTCACCCTGCGCCACGTCATGCTACCGCACAGTGGCAGGGCAGCAGGACGGCTCTTTGCGCCTGCGCGGTGGGCTCGCGGGAGGGGCTCTGGCCACTAGGGGGCGGGGCTATACGAGAAGGGGGCGGGATAACGGGCCGAATGGGGCGGGGTTGGAGCCGATGGGCGTGTCCAGACAGAGATGGGCGAGGCTACGGGCCTGGGGGGCGTGGCTGAACACGGGGGCGTGGCTACGGCCGTAGGGGAGCGCGAGCTGCGGCGCCTGCGCAGTGAGCCGAGCAGGCGGCGGGGAGCGTGTTGTAATGGCGGGGTACAGCGTGGAGGAGCGTGCCGCGCCGCACAGCCTGGAGTACCGCCTGTTTTTCAGTGAGTGTGACTGGCACCAGACCCCGGCTCCCCACGTCCCTTTTCTCATCCTCTTCTAACCGTCGTTTCCCCTCGCCCCCAATGGGGCGCTCACCTTGGGCGGACCCCAGGCCCTAGGGGCTGCCCCGCTGAGCGCCGCGCTTTGCCTTGCAGAGGACGCGGCCGGGCGGTACATCTCCCCCTTCCACGACATCCCGCTGTACGCGGACGCCGGCAAGGTGAGGGGACCGCCGGGGTTTGGAAGTAGGGGGTGGTCATGGGGAAGGCAGAGGGGCTGCAGAGCTGAGGGCACCCTCCAGAAAGCAGTTGGAGCCGCCCCGACATTGCTTTTGGCTGCTCGGAGAAGAAGAGGCGGACTGCCATCAAGGACAGCGATACGCTGGTCTTCATAAGCAAATACCGTGCTCCAAAGGTCCTCAGAGCAGGAACATTCGGGTGGTGCTGTGCTCTGCAGGTGCTACTGGAGCAGAGCAACGTGGTTACAGGGGTGCGGTGCTGCCCACAGGCTGGAAGGCTGCACAGGGACGTTTCTCACTTGGCGGGTTTGTTAGCAGCACCAGCCCGTCTCACTGTGTCTGAGCACCTTGATCTTTCTCTGCAGACTGTAAGCTAGAGAGGATTACTGGAGGGAGCTTTTCCAGCCGTGGGCTGGGAGGTGCTGACCTCATCCGTGTGTCCTGTCTGAGGGACTGACCTTGAGCTGCCTGCTGGGTGTTTCACCCAAGCCAGGTCCGTAGCTTGAGGCAGCAGAGCTGGGGGAGAGGTGTGCATCCTCTTCCCCAAGCATCCTCTACCTGCACAGCCAATTCTTCATTCTCTGCAGCTATGTATAAACAAAACTAATAGCTATCCACTTTCATTTTAATTACACGTGGGAAGTGACCCCCTGCAATTAAGGATATGCAATGAACTTGTTAGGAAGGGGTGCGAGCAAAGTCAGTGACATAACAGTGCTTGTTACACAATAGCAATCTAATTTTGGTGCTATATTCCCTGTCTAGTATTACCTTTGTAATGCTAATGCTGCTTAACCTGGGAATTAGAAGCCTTGGGGATGCTAAGGGAGTAAGGTTTGACTGTTAAAAGCCATAATCTCTTTTGATAGCAAATGTTAAGGTTCAAGTATGAAACAGCTGTTTTGTGTTTTTTTTTTTTCTCCTGAGGAAGAAGGGACCGCATCCCCTCAGCACAGCTAGAGACAGGACTCATCCATAAGTGAGATGCTGCACAGCATGTCCGTTTCCCCCAACAGCCCTATCCCTGTACCTCTTGACACAGAATGTCCCCTTCTGTGAGAGGAGGGAGCTCAAACACCTGGGAAATGATGTAAGCCTGAGCATTGCACCCATGCAGCTGTCACTGATCCACTTAAGTTTCCTGTTTTGCAGAAAGGTAACACAGACCTTTCACCTGCTGCCACCTCAGAACACCTGCGATCTAGGTTATCTGCATGAGATTAACATTTGAGTAATGATGCAATGGACTGGACTGCAGGACATCTATCAGGATTATTAGGATTGGCACTAGGAAAAAAAAAAAAAAACCAAAGTTTTGTTTTTCACACTTAATTACATGTGCTCTACTTTGAAGTGTGGTATTGAGATTTCACCTGTTCATGGATGTTTTGCTTTCTTCAGAATGTGTTCAACATGGTCGTGGAAGTACCTCGGTGGACAAATGCTAAAATGGAGGTAACTGTTTTGCAGTTCCAGGCTGAAGTGCTTGAGCTGAGTAGGCTGCTAACCCCAGGCTTTGCCTGCTCTCCCTGCGGGCTCCAGGCTCTGCAGCCTGTAGGTTAGAACTCGCTTCATAGAAAAGGCCACTGATTTCCTAGAGAGCCAGATACAGAAAATTATGAAACTTCTCTTTCAGATTGCAACAAAGGATCCCTTAAACCCAATTAAGCAAGATGTGAAGAAGGGAAAACTGCGCTACGTAGCTAATGTGTTTCCCCACAAGGGCTATATCTGGAATTATGGTGCTATCCCACAGGTACTGGATGTGTCTCACTCTTCAGGTGGGGGAGGGTGTGTGCCTATGTGTGTCTCTGACACCATTTCATGAGAGAGTAGAGTCTGAAGTGGAATGCTGCATCTGCAACTGTACATATAATCCTGCTAATGAGGAGAACCTGTCAAGAGAGCAGTGATGTTTGTGGGTAGAAATCTCTAGAGGCAGGCATGTAGGCACTGTGAAGAAGCTGCTGTGATAACAAGTAGCTGCTGCTTCACTCCTCACCTTGAGTTCAGCCACAGAAGTCGGTGTTCATCTTTGGGCTCAGGATGTGGTTGCTGCACAAGAGAGCTGAAGGCTCACAGTGGGTATCTGGCAGTTCTGCGTGCTTCATTCCTGCCTGGTGGAGCAGCAGGACCTAAAGCTGCAGTATAGAGCCTTGGTGTGCAGCCCCCAGACTGGATTATCTCAAAGACCCTGTGTGCTGCAAGTTAGCAACCAGTGAATTGTCCTTTTGCTCCTGATCAGAAACATGCTTTAAACAGCTGTTTTCAGAGGCTCAGCTCCAGTATCTCCTGGAGCCTGGTGTGACTTCAAACACTCGCTGCTCCTGCTGAGATGCAGAAAGACACCAAGTAGCATAGGGTGTGGGACTCACATTCCTACTTCTGCAATGCTGCCTTCAACTGCTTAACTGAAAGGAAGCAATACACACGTCTGTCTTCCACCTCTGTTATCTGGGGTTCAGGAAACGTCTGTTAAGAAATGAGTAGGGATAGGAACAGGCAGGAAGCCAAATCAGTGGGCATTCTTTATAGATGTGAACTTCACCTTTATGTGGCTTTTTAATTTGAGAGGAAGTCTGAAACATTGTTAAAGGGTTTGTCAGTGGGAAAGACCAGTTTACCCTTGGCAGGATAAGAACTTGGCTTGAAACTGCATTTACAGGCAACCATAAAACAGTAATGCAATTGCTAGATGTAAAAGCAATTGTGGGGTGGACCATCATCTATCTTCAAGGCAATTGCATGCATGAAATAAACCTGCCTTTTGCTTCTTCTTGAGTCCCTATTCAGCATATGGAGAGATTTGTGTTTTTTTTTTTTATTTTTTTTTATTATTATTATTATTATTTCCTGTAGACTTGGGAAGACCCAGGCCATAAGGATGAAAACACTGGCTGCTGTGGAGACAATGATCCGATTGACGTATGCGAAATTGGAAGCAAGGTAATACATTCCAGAGGGTAACTGTAATTAATGTCCCTGAAATCAATTGCTCAGAGTCATTATTCATTTCTTGCCACATGTATCTTAAGAACATGATGTTTCTTCCCCCTGTCTCCAGAGATTGTTGATGAGATCTTACAGTGCAAGCCCCATGAGCTTAGGCTCATGAGCTGCTGATAAGAGACAGCTGCCTTCGTGGTGTGGGACTGCTTGCTGCGCTCTGACAACTTGTACCAACTCCTTTGTGCGTTCCTTGAATGTGTACAGAGAACTCTTTTGTCATTGTAGGTCTGCTTACGAGGAGAAGTGATTAAAGTGAAGGTGCTAGGCACGCTGGCACTGATTGATGAGGGAGAGACAGACTGGAAGATAATTGCTATCAACATTGAAGATCCTGAAGCAGAAAATTATAACGGTAGGGAGGAACATGTCTAATACTTCCTTTCCTACCTTGAATGTCTGCAGGAGACTTTTGGGTTAGCATCTGGACAGATGCAATACAGACCATAGTAGCAGAATAGAATGTTAAGCTCTAGCAAAACACTATACTATTTACACAAATTAAGACCTTTGCATAGCTGGGGGTAATGCTATAATATGATAGAAAGTATAGCAATGATAGCAGAGTGGCACAATGCTAGGCTGTAGTAAATAAGAACAAGCCCAAACATAACAGCTGTGACTGCAGAAATAGAGGAAGAAAAACTACTTACCCTTAGAATGCCTCAGGTACACAGGGATCTTCAGAGAGATACCCTTACC